TTTCTAGATGAGGACATGGATTTTCTTAAACAAAGGTGGTTCAAAAGATCAGTGCATCCTGATTCCATAAAATGAAAAATTCTTAAAAAATATACTTCCAAAAAAATTTGCCCTGTGTTTGGGTATGTCGTCTCTGGTTTTCCAGATTTCTGTTCTTGCTTGTTTTGTACCTGGTTCTACTCATTTGCAAGTAATCTAGATTAGTCAATTAGAGTATCTTCAAAACTGGACCCATTAAGATTAGAAAAAGGGTTTTACTATATATAGCCCTGATAGACACTATAAGGCGGCTTACACATGTTTTAATCCTTTAAAACCTCACTCCTACTCTTTAATATACTAAATAAAATTGCTTGTGAATGCTTGCTAAGCCTTCAGCAACATTTTTAGTGGGTTCAGGTCAGCAGTGACTGGACCTAGTCTCATTCTGAGTTTTCCATGGTCTATGGGAGGTGTTCTTAACTAAATACAAAAGCAGTTTTTCCTAATATTTTGAAATTTCTTCTTTGAAGTGATTAATGAAATACAAGCTCATTAAACATTAGAGTGCATGAAAGTCACCAACAGCATGTGGAATTCATTGTGGTCTGTCCCAGGCAATGTTAATATCAAATGGCAAGCATTGAAGCAAAATATTATCTCCTCAAAAATGATTTATGATGTTTGTATTGTGGTTCATGCCTTTTAAAAGAAAAATGGAAGATCAATACAGGATCAGTGTGATGGTGGCCATCCTAGCTACCAGACTCCATTTATCTCTTTGCAGGCACCATGAAAAGGAAAATTGAATATTCAGAGAGTCGAGAAAAGAATATAGATGAGTAGTTATATAAAATTGTCAGCACAAGAGTCCTGCTTAGACAGATCCAGTGAGTCCTGCTAAAGAGGGCTTTCCATAGACAGATGGGAAGAGGGAAGCAAGGGGCATACTTTTTTAATTTAAGTGCACTTTTTCAGCTCTACGTGGGTTCAGTGTATGTAAGGATCTCTGCTTCTCAGCGCTGTGCTGCCATCTGTTCCCTCTGCACATCCCGGCTTCCTTGAGTCGCTGTTCCTTCTGTGCTGTTTGCTGAATTTCCCATCTCTGGTGTAGCCTTCTGCTCTCCTGCCCCGTTTGCTAGAATGTGTGTTCCAGACCAGATGCATTTTCATTTCAGCCTCATTTTCCTCTTCCCCTGCCTGCACAGACAGTTCATCACTTTTCTGTGTATCCGTGTTTCGCTGCCCACAAGATGGGCAGTCCAGGAGAGTTTCAGTGATCAGATCCTTTCTGGAGTTCTGATTTTCTGTTCAAGTAAATATTGACATTGAAAACATTACAGATTTCTAGGTAAAATCACTTTAGCAGCTTGGAATCAGAGTAATCTTCCAGGATTTGCTAATCTTCACTCCTTTTTGTTTCTTGTTGTGGAATACATACAGACATGAAATAGAACAGATTTAGTCTAGTTTTGCACCATCTGCTTATCCAGTGTAATTTTAATGTTTAAACTTGAGCCCAGATGTGTTCATCCTCTGCTCTCAACAACTGATTGTGTAAACCTGAGTAGGCTTTGGGTTTTTTCCTTTGGTGATGGTGGGGTTCTGTGGGATAAATGTCATGAATTGAAGCAGGAGGTGCTTGTGCTTCCTCGATTCTGTTATGACAGTAGATGCTGTTCAGTCCCTACCTCTAAACTTCTTGGAAACTTTGAGAAAATTCTAGTCAAGAAAAGATGCCCTTATTCTAATGTTCTTACTTTATTGTGTTTCATGGTAGTTTTGCTGCCTTCTATCCTTAGTTTGATGTATATCATCAGCAGCTTTCCTGAAGTTCAGACCTTAAAAGTTCATTCTGAGTGAAGTTTCATTCACTGCTGTTGCATATACATTCGGTTTTGGAGCCTGACCAAATTCTTACTGAAAGTATTGAGAGCTTGGATTGTGTGGTTTTCTTTCCATTTTGAATTTCTTTTTAGGCGTCTGTGTTTCTTGTATCACCATAGTTCTTATTAAAACAGTATTTCAGAATCTCAGTGTTTTGATGGCTGTGGAAATTGGAAGCATATTTGTAGATGGAGTTCCAATGACCAACCTGCTTCATTTGGGTTAAAATCACTTTTTCATATAAATTAGCATATGCCCTTTCTCTTTGGTTACCCTTATAACATTACACCAGAAGTCGAACACATTCCTTCCCTGCCAAGCTCTTCATTTCCTGTTGACCAAGAAAGCAGAGTGACCTTTTCATCTTGTTCACTGTGCCTGTTCCCCCTCCAAATTTCTGGAATGTTGATGTGACTAAACTTTCTTTAAAAGTTACATATTTATATGTGCATTTTATGATTTTGTCACAGCCAAGTGGAAGTTTGTTCTGCTGTTCACTGTGATGTAGAGGGAGCAAATATCAAATTTGTCATACACTATATATGGCTATTATGCATAACATAAGTAAGAAAGGAATTGTAAAGAGTAGTTCTCTAGCATTTGTGAGAATCTAGGGATGATAAGCTGAAAGAAAGTAAGAGATTGAAGATGCAAAAGACACTTGATATCCAATTCTTCTTAATCACAGAGGTAGAAATAGAACCTTAGACAAATTATAACTTCTAGATAAATTAGCAAAGCTCACACTTTGCTTTATAAAGATGATGTTGAATCAACCCTACTTTGTCAACAGGGCACAGGTGCTGCTCTTTTGGGTATTGGGCTAACACTGCTTTTCTGATGCCGTTAAGAGTCCTGCTGCTGTCTTATTTTCTGTCTCCAGCTTTAGTTTCAGTACCACTATACCTAATACTAAGGTTTCTTTTTCTAAAACCCAAAATCCTGTGTACTTTTCAGCTCCAAACCCAGTGATGGTTGGAATTCTATCCATCCTGTTCCTCCCAAAACCTTCTGTTAAGAGGAATGTAACTCAAAATGTAGCTAGCTCTGCATCAAAGGAGCTCACCAGATTCTGACTGCACAGTGCTTAAGCTTCTCCTAAATAAGAAATTTCTTGGCACTCCTTCTTTTTGAACATAAACCCTTCTCAGTCCCAGCCCATTAGTTTCCTTTTTCTGCTTTATTCATATGGCAGGAACCTCTGTTGTGAATTTATTCTCCTCCTTACTCCTACAGATGTCCTTGTCACTCATTCAGCACTTACTTCCCAGGAGTTCTCATGAGAAAAAATAAAATTAGTTCAGGAAACTCTAAGACCAGCAACCAGAGGATGAAATTTAGGATAGAGCAATACTGGGAAATAGCTTCCCTGGTAGCTCTCTTCCATCTATGTGCTGCATAGGAGGAAGTCTAATTCTTCAATAAAATGACACATGATACAGAAATTTATATTTTTTCCAGTAGCTATTGCAAAGAGCTGCAGATAATTTTAGCATCGAATAGGCTGTAGCACAAGAAAACGCTGGGATTATCTGATCTTTTCCATGCTTACTTTTCTTTCACACAGGGGCATACAAAAATCTTTTAGATTTATACTTCCTTGGGTATAAATGAGTAAAATGAGGTGACTTACCCAAGGCCCTGGAGGGCAGCAGTAGCATAGCAGGAGTGGCCTGTTCTCTCACTGCACCTGAGCCCTTCCCCTAAGGAATGCTGCTTTCTAAAAAATGTCGTTTTCTCGCATTCCTCTTTGGTTACTGTCCTATTATCTTACATTCTTTTGTTATTAGTGATAGCATTGGTACTAGTAGAAATAATGGTCTTGATTCTCTTGTCAAACAACCTCATCAGTTTGATTTAGTGCTGGTAAAGTGTTTGATCTGAACTTTATTTGTAAAAAGGCACTTGGTGCTATTTTAAAAACTAGGATATCTTAAAAGCTACGAGCTTTTGCTTGTAAAGGACAAAAGTTAGGGTTATTGAAGAGACTGTTCATATTGTCATAATGTGGTTAGGGTTAATTATAGATGCTGTTGGTGCTCACTGTATGATGAGTGTGTGCAGAGAAAGGGCTACAGAACATGATATGTTAAAACATTCAGTTTTTAGATGGCTGTTGAAGGAACCTTAGTTTAGAGATTTTCTGAAGATTTTTTTCTCTTGGAGCCCTTTCTCAGTCTTGCATTCCCGAATAGCCTGCAGGGAGTGCGGGTGCAGCTCGGGAGAGCAGCGCATTGCCCGGCGCAGCAGCTGCCTGCAGCACACACCCCTGCCTCTCCCAGTGTTGACTTGTTATAATCTGGCATCACGTGGGGAAGGTGGTGGCTGCACAACATTTCCTTTGACTAGGAAGGGTTTACAAGTGGGTCTGTTGATCCTGAAGTCCAAACTGTTCAGCTGAAGGAAAAACTTACTTGCTCTGAGTTCATATTTTATGCTGACGGCATGTAAGTACCTTGCTTCAGGAGATGGTTGTCCTGAAGCAATTAGTGTTTTCCTGCCTGCCTTTGTAGCTAAAATCAAATGCATTTAGCATAGTTTTATTAGTACACGGTGCTGCTTAAGAACACAATCCGTTTTTCCAGGATTAACATTGAACATAATTCTGTGGGGGCAGTTTGAATCTCTAATGCCGTTTACAAGTGGATTGAAATTCATGCCAGAATTCTGGCTATTTTTTTCCTTTCCTGAGCTCCCAGAGGAACATGGTCTTATTTCAGAAGATGTTTTGCATATTTCCCACCTTGTAGTGTTAAATTCTTTATCTCAATCAAATCCAGAAATTTTGAAGTACAGACATTTTTCATTTCCATTTCTTAATATTTTAAATTTAAAGTAGTTCTTGATTATAAACATGTTTTTCACACGTATGTTCTGAAGTTTCCTTTCTGTCATGGATTAAAATTTAATGGTATCTGTCTTTTTATTACTATGAAATTGATAATTATTAGTAGAAATGTTTGTCTTAATTTGAAAAAATAGTTGCTGTGAACTATAGATTACAGTCACAGAATTTTGAAGTATAACATTCTTGTGTGTTTTTTTTTGTCTAATCAAAATTATTTCAGATTCTCTTTCTGTTTAACTGCTGAAGTTGGGCAGGAATTTAATTGCCATGCCTGTCTTTGTTACAGAATACAGTCGTTTTGAAGCTAAAATCCATGATTTACGGGAGCAGATGATGAACAGTAGCATTAGTTCAGGATCAGGATCTTTGCGAACAAGCCAGAAGAGATCCCTCTATGTCAGGTAATCATCTTTTTCATAGCATTGCTACTGTGTTTTTCTGCTTTCCTGTAGACTTACTATTTTCGTATTTGTATTTTCATACAATTATTTATAAGTATTGATAAAGGGAGACTTCTATGCAAATATAATAAAAATAAAATTTTATCTAGACTGATTAATATAGCTGAAAAAGAAGTAATATCCCTGAGAACCCTATATGAACTTTGAAGACTGGTGCTATTATTTGCTTTCTGTCCTTCTATTTGGGAGAGATGATAATCCTTCAGCAAAACCATACATTTCTTCTTTAGGTCAGTGTATGTGAAGTCTTAAGAACTTGCTTAATTCAGTTTGTGTTTTTGTGATGTTAGTCTTCATATTCTTCCTTGTTCAGTACTTGAATTAAGATTTATAGTCTTCTCTTTCTTAAGGTTTGACAGATTTCCATCTTATTTTCTCCAGCTTACTTTAGTTGTTTTCTCAGCTTTATTACAGAACCTTATTTCTCTATCCAATTGAATTTTGTTATGGATTATTTTTACTTGGTAACCAAGAGAGAAAATGCAAAGTAAATGAACTGAGTATACCTCATTAATTTCTTTATATCAAGTTAAACATAAAGGAAGCTGAAAGGAAGTGGAAACATAAGAGCATGAAGCAGATGAAAAAATAGGTGGTTTCACAGGGAAATTATGGCAGGGTGTAGCTTATTCATGTGTCATTCAACTCCTGCATTGGTTATCAGGTACTGATAAAGGCTAACATTTCAAGTATGGAGAATGGGTAAAAGGATTGCATTTTAAAAAATAAATTGGTTTTTGATTTCCCCAAATCATCTCATCTCTGGATTGAATCAGGGCCAGCAGTAGCTTCTTGGCAGGGGCTAAAATGTTTCAGTAGATCAAGTAAGCCTTCAAGTAGTTCTGGTGTTTGGGTGAAATGTGATTTTAAAATGTTGTAGGACCTCACTGGTTTATCTCCTAAAAGTAAGTAGACTCAGATGCTGTTGACTTTTCCCATCCAAAGCAGAGAGTGTTTTGTCCATGGTGTGCTCTGTCTGCAGAGCTATGAGAAAGGAAGCAATTCATAACAAAGCAGCTTCCTGAGTAATTGCACTGATGCTGAACAAAGTCGTGGTCCTTTGTAACTATTTCTGAATGCTGGACACAAATGTAGGATAATACTCATAGGGCTTTGGTTTAGCTTCACTCTAACAGGTAGTTTCTATGTTTTGACCGATTATTTCAATAGCTGGATTCTGTTTTCTCAGATCTGAGCCTACTTTTCTACTTCTGTTTGCCTTAAATATTTTGAGGGTCAAAATTTAAATCTTTAAAAACAAATACCTTAAAACCACAGTTGTCCATATATTTTAATTTCCACAGGTAGGTAGGGGAACATATGGATATTGTGCCAAGACCTTCATTTCCATAATCTCAAGATTTATTGCTTTAGGTCTCATCATATAACTAAGCCTAAACAATTCTAAATGCTTTTATTTTGCTTGGTTAGCTATAGCCTGATTAGATTCTAAACCGCTTATGCTCCTGTTCACACATCTGATATTTTGACCCACTGACAAGCATTTTATCTTCGAGTATCTTTTATTCTACTGATGGAACGTGTTGAGCTTTTGACTTTGCCAGCTGCTGCAGAACTTGCAGCCTTATCCAGGCTGTTGGCAGCCCCCCTGTTGTGGGGACTGGTTTCATTGAAGGGTTTTGAGGCTCAATAATCAATGTTGCTATAAGTCAGTACAAACGTCTAAAATGAAAAAATTCCACAGCAAAAGTATTTTTTTACCCACATCTCGTTACAGAGGGTGCTACTAGGGCTTTTGAGATCTGCTTGTGTCATCACACCAAAAGTTGCCAAAGGCTGGGAGGCCACTTTATGTGCACAAAAAGGATTCACATCTTTTCTGTCTGGTTTCTGATGTAATTTTGACCCCATTGAAGTAACTTTTATGAATATTTTCACATATTGCAAGATACTGACAGAACATATTAGTTACCCACTTTATTCCTTATAATAAGTCACTCTGGTGTAGTCATACTGTACCCTTAGTTGTAGCAATTCAGAGCCAATTTTAATAACTTCAGATATCTTTTTTTCAGTAGTGCTGGATTTTGAATGTGCCTTAAAGGATTGCCAGTTATGTAACAAAATGCTGAATTGAATGGTAAATCCAACAGTAAAATGTTTGTAGGCATTCAATCGCAATTGCAGAAAAGCTATTAAATAAAAATACCCTGAAAATCATCTCTGCTGCTTTCTCAAAATCATTGTAACAAATTAGGAAATAAAATCAGATACATTATTGCATCCCTGTAAACATGATATCTTTAAGATTAGTCTGCCTGCAGACAGCACTTTTTGGTATTATGTAATATTAAGGAAAAGGCAATTGTGCTTGCCTGAAAACACAATTTGGAGTAAAATGGCAGATTTTTCTTTGTAATTGTATGTGTATCAAAAAAATGATACACAGCAATTTAGGAAACAGCCCTTGGAGGGCAATATAAATACAGCAATTCAGCAGCAGCTGACTCTCCATTTGCACGTCCTACTATCCTTCCATACCACCCCCTGGCCCCAGCTAATTCAGATGTACTGATATGTCTTCTCTTATTTTACTTTATATTTCTTCTGATCTTTGTTCTGAGACAGGTTCTCTCATAATAATGTTTCTGGGTTTGCATCTGATCTATATATAGATATATATGCTCATCTAGAGATTCAAAAAGCACATGTGAGATACCCTCATGGTATCAAGTTTCTGTGATAATACATGGAGAGTGAGAGTAAATCTATTCCATATTTAATCTCATCTTCTGTGGCAAATCTTAGTCTGCAATGTGTGTAGCATTCAAAATCAAAAATTACTTTTACCTTTGTGCATTTTTCTGACCAACACAATACATTCCAAATTCAAACAATGGCGCTGATTTGTGCTTGAATTGGAGCAAAAAATGGTGATGTCTCTAAGTTGAAGTAACGTAACAGTTTTAAAATGACTAAGAAATTTAAAATAAATCCTTTGGAAAAATAAGATCTGCTACTAGCAGCAGGCTAAGTGTACTTGCCTGCAGTTTAATTGGGCCATCTCTGTTATTCTCACAGTTCAAATATTAAGTTTCAAACAACTTTCCCAAAAACTCAGAAAAACCTCCTCTACAAGCTGACCTTCATTTATTGTGAAATGGTAAAATTAATTCATATTCAATGAAATGAAACGGAGAGATGCTTTGCTGCAGGAATTCCTGGTTGCTTGGTTTGTTGAAGAAATGCTTCAGTAAAACTTGGTCAATGGTCTATGATACTGAAAGTAATGAGTATGGCAGGTAAAAAGATATTCTAGAAAATTTGGCAATGTTACACAGCCATTACATATATGGCTTTGAAGCATAAACACTCATGAAATATGCAACCTAATTCCAGTTTCTCTAGACTTGTGGATGAAGGAGCTGAGTTACCTTTTTAGTACTCTTTAGTTCCTGAGTAATACAAAGTGAAATAAAAAGGAGGATTTGGTTCTTTCTCTAGAAAATAATTTTTAGGACTTCCCATTTAAATTTAAATAGAACTTTACACTAAATATCATGGGTCTGCATTCAAAGCAGTAGTTGATCAGGATTATTAAATTTATTCTTAAGTTAATTTGTGTTTATAACTTAAAATAAGTAAATGTAGACATGGTATTTTTAATCTGTAATAAAAGTCTGCATGCAGGAAGTTAATAGAAGCAGTATTTTTTATATTCCTGCTTGTAGATAAAAGCCTCATCTGGGCTGTGAAGTGAGTTCTTGGTTGATGATGTGCCAGGCATACAGGAAAAGCCATGTTAATCACTTGAAATCGAAATAAATTTTTGTTAATTGTCTTGCTTTTTGAGGTCATTTATAGGATCATTAGCAGTTCCTGGTATTCCTATAAGTGTTAACTGCATGGTTTTGTCACTATTGAGTGATGCCCTAAATGATCTTTTTATAAAATTATCTTCATCAGCCTTGACTTTTTTGCCCAATAAAATTATTTTTCTTGAAGTGACTTCACCAGAGGAAATATTTGATGGAACTTCCTTTCATTGTGCAAAACCTGCTCTGTGTAACTATTTATCTAGTTGGTAATAATGAATTCATCAGTTTCTGCTTCCATTTCAATCCTGAGCATTTTTTCTCATGCAGTCAACATGTATGTTAATGCTTTTAGGCCAAGCTCACAGTGTTTATAAATTTATATGCAAATTCAAAAATAGAAGTTAAAAGTGGAGCTGGTAGAAATCATTGCATGAATGCTAACAAGAAATCTCAGGAAATAAATGTCACGATGCATGTAATTAATTCAGTGAAAATGTATACAACTTGAATCTGCATTGAAAGTACATCCTGGATTATGTGTGGTTTATTTTGAGATATGAAATGATATTTGTCCAAAGTGTTTCTTGAAGAAACATGAATGTAGAGGAATAACTACTTCCTATTGATATCATTTTTGTTACCTGCAATATTTTGGCTGTTTCAAAGAAAAAAATAGCTCTGATTTTTAAAAAATAACCAGGATATCTTAACTATGCTGTGGATTAAGCCAAAAGATCTTATGGATCCTATTATGAAGGTTAGAAGTGTACTTCTAAGGAAGGTGATATTTCAACCTCCAAGATATTTCAAAATTGAAAGTCTAAATTTAGTTATAAACTTAAATTAAAAGTATTGCAGATTTAAGTATAAGGCTCTTTGTATCAGAAGAGCAAATATTTTGAAGTAATTTAAAAATTTCTGTCTTTTTTAAGACATTCTAAAAATCATTATTAAAACCTTTAATCTAGTAGGAAATTTTTTTTGTATTTTAGAGCCCAAAAAAGGCATGGTGTCTCAAATAACTCTGGTTTTGCAATAGGTGCTGGAGGTGAATTGGTCTCATAATATTTTGAATTTTTTCCCTGTAAACAATTTGTTATTGGTTAATAATAAATACAGTTCACTCGGTGCTTCAGGAAGGGGAAATTCATAAAGCTGAAGTACATTTTTGAGCAAACAGGTTTTGACTAACATAGGTTAAAAATTTCTGTGGTATGAAAAATCTAGCAGAAAAAAGTATGCAAGACCAGTGTTTGGGATGAAGAAACAAGCTGAATTTGGACAAGGAAAGTGACACCCTTTTAAATCATCACATTGTAATCTGTTGGTACTACTTTGGCTTGGTATAGAATAAGTTGAATTCAGGTGTTGTTCAGAAAGTGCAGCACTGACAGCACACGAGCTGGCAGATTAAATAATGTTGAGGATTTTTTGGACTGTGTTATACAAGCACTTGTGTCACAAAGATGAGGTTCATGAACTATTTTCAAATGTACAAGAAGAGTCCTTTAGAAGGCAGAACCATAGCAGTATCTCTGCTGTTTGCTAAGAGACTCCTGTCATCTTCCATTTCCACATCCTCATTAAACCCTCAGTTGTGCTGGGGAGAAACATACTGCAGATATCTTCATTTCCTCAGGGAACTTGTCCAGGTAGAAAATGATCCAAAAGGCAGAAAAGATATGACCTGTAAACCAGATCAGTTCCATAGTGTTGTGGACCATGTCCTTTACCAGACAACTGTGCTTTCTTTAGCAAAAAGGGAAACAGGAGTCAGTTGCATAAACCAATCTCACTGCCAGAGGGGATGTTAATAAAACTGTAGTCACGCAGCTGCTGTTCAGGTATTGTGAGTGCCTATTATTTGAAAACAGGCTTACCTTAGGAAAAAGGATGAGATTCTCTCAAAATGGCCAGGAATTTCCTAAAAGAATGTGCATAAGGCTCTCTGCCTCTAGGTAGTACAGTAGCAAAGTGGTGATCAGATATTTCTAAGTTGAGTTTTTTCCTGTGAGCAGGATACTGACTTTTATTTTAAAGACAGTACTAAACTGTACTAAATTGCTAAATAACTTCAATTTCTAATTTGATATGAAACAGCATACTTTACAGAACTTTTGACAGTGCTGTATGCTTTAAATACTTGCTTGTCTTTTTTATCCTAGACTGACATGTAACTTGCTCTGTGCAAAGCACTTATTGAATTGCAGGAGGTATCTTCTGTAGAACTTTTGTAAAGCACTAGAGGTTTGCTCTGGATGAAGTTTTTCTCATTCATTAAAGCTTAGAAGTGTGTGGGGGTACTGTACTACACATTCTGTGTGTGTATGAGAGCGTATTCAGCCTTCTTGTGAGTACCTGTCAGAATGATGCAATCATTTATGAATAGCACAGGCAACTTGCTTCATATTTTGTGCTATTTATACTCTCCTGGCTTTTTCTTGCTTTTTTATATGTTTAATTTTTTCTTTTCAATGTAGAGCTCTTTTTGATTATGACAAGACTAAAGATAGTGGCCTTCCGAGTCAAGGATTGAACTTCAAATTTGGTGATATTCTCCATGTCATTAATGCTTCTGATGATGAATGGTGGCAGGCACGGCAGGTAACTCCAGATGGAGAAAGTGATGAAATTGGAGTCATCCCAAGCAAACGGAGGTATGTCATACTTGATTGACTTGGAGATGTGTGCCATGAAACATCTGATCTGATAATACATATACTGTATATGTTTTTCTTTGTTGTTAATTCTGTACCAGATTAGCCATTTGTTTGATTTTTTTTTACTTTTTTAGTAATCTGTAATGGGATTCTCATTTACTCAGTGAGAAGTTTATTAAAACCCTATTTAGCCTTAGGAGTTATGTGCTGAGGTTAATAAAGGTGGTCAACATCCACCCTCTCTGTTCTCACTGTAAGTAAGTTGTGGGTTTAATAACATTACATGTGGGTTTAATATCAGTTTAGCAATCATTTTTATATGAAAAGGTGCAAAGTATGAATGAATTTTATTCAAGTCACGACACTATGATTAATTCTTTCTACCCAGAACTTTGAAAACTGGAAAATCTTTGGTAGCCAGAGCTAATGGAGATGAGATTTTTGTTGGCATACTGGAGACTCAAATAAGAGTTTAGGTGCTCTGAATCTTAATATCTGCTATTGACTGATAACTCAGGCTGTTCACTTACTGTGTCATGTTTTCTCTTTGCACTCTATGGATTTATTGAACGTGTATAGCCACAAAATATTCCCAATACTCTCACAGCTCATCACTTGTGAAATAACAGTTTTCCATTAGCAGGCTTCCATTTTCTGAATGTGTCATAAGCAATAAAATGTATAGTACAAAAGATACTCCAGTATGCTTCTGGTGGAACAAGTGGTAACTTGAAGTTCTGGAGTTTTGCTGATTCTGACATTTTTGTGTGTGTTTTTGTGGTAGAGTTGAGAAGAAAGAACGAGCCCGTTTGAAGACAGTGAAATTCAATTCCAAAACAAGAGGAGATAAAGGGGTGAGTTAATGAAGTGCTAATTACACCTGGCATTGTGAATAGTAACATTTTTCAGCCGTTTGTTGTGTGTAGAATCACTTTAAGATTTGAGTGAAATAACTCAATTCTATCAAATAGAAATGAAATAATTCTGAGCACCAAAGCAGCCTTTAATTGCTAAAACACTGCAAATTGTTTAAAGAATTAGTATAGAAATACATATGCTTCTTAGTACTGTAATGTAGTAGGAGCTGTATATCTTATTATTATTATTATTATTATTAAGTATTGAATAGCACCATTTTTAACAGCTCTGCACCATATGTGATTCTGAAATTTGAGAAACAATTCCACAAACTTACCATTTCTACCAGTAGCATGTGACTAGTAATTTCAGGACTTAGGCACGTGCATTTTAGATTTAAGAGTCTTCTAAAATAATAATATATTGCCATTTAAAAAAATCTGAAGTGTGCTTTAAGCTCTGAGGAAGCTATTTCTTAAATAGTGATTATATTTTTTATTACACTAATGCTGTAGCATTGGCTAGTCGTTATTGTAAATCCCACAAATGCTTTTTAGGAATTTGTTTCAGTTACAATGTTTACATAACTTCGGAAATCACATATATAAAATATTAAAACTTCAGTATTATATCCTGATAGTGTAGGACTGCAAAGTATAAAGACTCTAAAACTCATATCTGCTACATGGCAAAGGTTTCAGTTACTAATGAAATGTCATGTTTTTCCCCTATAAGTATTTGCTTAAAAGGAAATCAATACCTCTGACTACTTTCTGATTCACAATTATGGTACTGCCCTGGAGATTCACTGGATCACTTGTAGTTTTTTTCTGTTTTGGTGCATTTGTAGTTTGGTATTGGAATAAAATGTTATCAATAGAAGTCATATAAAGAGAGGCTTAAATAGTTCAGATTATTTTCATTCCATTAAATAATTTTTGAAATGTTACCATGTTCTTTGAAAGATGATTGGATGGTTTTAGAGTGTGTCTACCAATTAACTATGAGCAGTTAATTACTGATGCGTTTGAAATAGCATTTTGACAAAAGCAGAGTTGGTGCACAGTCCCTGTGTACTGAGAGAGCACCAAAGCAATGCATGGAATACTGAGTGGAAAAGCAACTACGCTTGCCATTGATGCAGAACTGCAGTTCTCTTTCTTTAGTAACATTTCATTTTGCAAACACTTACATTGTTCAGTCTTTTGCTTCAGCTGTAAATGTTTTAACATCAGAGTTTCTCCTTGAAGTGTTCCTCCTTTATTTGTAACGACGATACTTTTCCCAGTAAGTTGACTGCACTGAACATGTCCTCATGGACCATGTGCCTTCCTCTGTCTGTGTGTGCTAATACTCCATAAACAGGTTGAAATACCAATTTGATACAGTTTTTGAAAATTTCTACATTAAGATCTTGAAGAGTAACCCTAGTGATGTCTAACATTAAAATCTATGTTCCTTTCATTGTAAGGAAACCTAAAAAAGTCTGGAGCAAAGATGGTTTCATTTTTTCTTGTTTGTTCCTTTCGTTTACACATTTATCTCATTTTCTGTGCTGCTTCTGATTTAATGTATTCCCACTTATGATGCCTGTCAATGATTGCCAGTGGGCTTATGAAAAATTTAATGCAATTACTATGCATTTTCAACTAATAAGCAAATCCTTCTAGCTTTTTATAATCATGGTATCTTTTAAAGTAATCCTTTGCCTAATCTTTTATGCAAAATCAGTATAATATTACTTTTATTTTCTCTTTTTTTTGGCAATGGAACTGACTCTGACCATTTTACATGCAGTATATAAAGTTTCGTATTAGCTCAGAAAGGCTTACTGTACAGACAGTTAAAATAATTATTATGAAATATTTTCAAAACTATAATGAACTTGATTATGTTTTATAAAGTACAATAAATCAGCTACTCCTTTTAACTGTACAAGATTGCACATTCTCACCACCTCAGCTAAACTGCACCATTTTAGCTTTATTACATTTGTCTCCTTTTACCAAACTTATGGACTTGCCTAAATGAAACACAGATGTGAATATTCTACCTTTTGAATTTATATTACAGTATTATTCAGTATACAGTGAGGATCTCCTTTGGACATATTTCTGTGTTGTCCTTATTCTCTAGATTACATTACCCTTCCTGGTTGTGAGAAATCATTTGCAGTGTCTTCACTTCTGTAAAAGAAGGTCAGGAGGACCATAACATAAAAACTTGCCTGTGCCAAGTGTGGTTCCTGCAGGCATATGATTGGCTTGAAACTGATCTTTTGTCTATGTGCCAGGTTGATAATTTATCCATTTTTACAGTGGAACAACAGTTTTAGTCGAACACAGATACAAGGCAATTAAAGGTTTTATGGATTTCCTCCTTAGCACAGTATTGTTATTTCCAGAGCTCAATGTCACTGATTGTGCTCCCATGGTATCATGTGCCTGTTTAACACCTTGTAATTTTAAGTAATTTTTAAACAAACTTGGTAATGCAAATACCACTGGATGTTGAAGTATCTGCTATTGCCAAGCAGGTCTGTGTTAAACAGATGGCCAGAAGGATAGCAGGGTGCAGCTTTGGCATTGCACTGTAGGAAAGAAGCACAACTACAGACATTCTCTTTAGGAAGGTCAAGTACTAGTTTTCAATTGTACCAAAAAACGTGGCACATGACTTGAAAAAGCTTTGTCCTGTTTGACCCCTAGTTGTCACTGTAATTCATTTCATACTTAATGCTGGTAGAAAGGAGAATGTGCCTTTTTGCCGCTGTACTGCATATAAAGGAATGTGAGCTCACATTAGCTGAAGAAAGGCAAACAATTACTTGAAAGCTAACATGTTCCAAATTTAGGAACAGTTGTTAATAGAGTCTTGAATACGTGATTTTTTTTTTACAATACCTTTTAAAAGATGTTTCTGTGGTGCTTTTCTTACTTCCTGCTGCACATAGGCTCTGTTGAGCTTAGAAATAAATAGTCCCCTGCAACACAGGGTCTCAAGACCAAGTTGGGTGTTTTTCTGTTTTGCCATCCTTTCTATTGTAGTTTTTCTTTTGCAAACCAAGTGACAAAAATATGGCAAATTTTATGTGTTTCCAAAACTGGGCAGATGAATCACTCATGCCTAAAGATGGAAGGGAATTTCTGCTGATTTTAAGTTAGCTGCATTAGCTCTAGTTCTGGGCATAATTGCAATTAAAACATTACTGATTTATTTATACTTTAAGGTTTTTTATTGACTTGGAACATCAAATTAAAGGTGCTGTAGTCACATGATGTCTTCAGCAGAAGATATGGCGGATATTACTAAAATACGTGCTAATTAACTATAGAGATACCTATATAGGAATGAAAATGCATTGATGCTCTCCATCACTTGGACAAGTATCACAATAATAGTTTATATTCACATGGATGTAAATGTCTATGTAAGTAACTCTAGAAATGTTTGTTGCAACTGAGATGCAGAAATTCTTCAGCAACACGAGCAATTAATGTCAAAAGTTGCTGAACATGATCCTTGATATAGAGGGTTTTTCATGTGGCAATTATAAGTGCACTCTTGAAAAACGTAATTGCCACAATAAACCAATGAAATTAGTTTGTGTCTTTTGAAAGGTAATCATTGTATTAGGATGCAGACTTACATAGAACAGTAATTCCTTTCAGTGAACTTGCAATGAATTGCAATAGTAAAAAAACACTGACACAAATTCTGGAGCTTTTTTTTTTTTAGTTGGTTGGTAATACTGTCCATGATACTTCTGATATTCTGTTATAATATCAGCTCTTTGCAAAAGCCTCAGCTTGGTTTTTTGTTTTTTTTTTTTTTGTTTTTTTCAATACTGTAAGCCCTAAATGAGATAATATCAGTGGTTTAATTGACTTTGAGTCAAGTTTATGGTTTGTCCATCTTACAGCAGCCTAGTTTTCCATCTTTTTTAAACACTCACAGCAAGCCTAAATTTGTGAAGTACCGGTCGGTCTGTATAGGATGAACCAGTTTTCTTAATACTAAGCATGTGAAACATGGAGGATATGAGCAAAGTCATGATCCCAGTCTCTCTTTCTAGTGAGCTGAGAAGATGAGTGTTAAACTGAGATATGCACTGCATAATGTGGTTGTAGGAGTCAGCTTCCACAAAGCTGCTGGTCTGGGCCTTTGTTCACACAGACATTAGACATCCTTTGTTTTGCCCCTCCTTCTCTTCTTCAGCAGTCATTCAATGACAAGCGTAAAAAGAACCTCTTTTCCCGAAAATTTCCCTTCTACAAGAACAAGGACCAGAGTGAGCAGGAAACCAGTGATATTGACCGTAAGTATGTGGCATTGGATGGAGAGCGAAGCGCAGTAGAAGGGCCTGCTAGACTGCACTAGGGTGTTACCATGGAGACAGTTCCACGAGCTGCAACAGGCTGAGGAGCAAACCAGTCTACAAAACAAAACTTTACACAAGAGTATCCCAGTTTGAAATAAACTGGCAATACTGTTGACAAACTGGAGGAGATAATTGCCTTCCAGTGCTGTCAGTGATGCTTTCCCATTTCTGACTTGGAGGAGAAGGCATAGTATTCATAAAAGTATAATGGAGCTTACCAGCTTCTCAAATCAGTCCTTTACACTGGTTTTTCAAAGTAATTCATTCTGATTTGATCTTCCTAATGAAGAGAGGTTGCTCTGATTTTCATTGCTCTTGCTAGCACTAAAAAAAGTATATTCTCAAAACGTAGTTGCGTAAATTTGCTAATTCAGACCAGGTTCAAAACAAACTCTCTTCTCTGCCATTTGCATTACTGATTGCACTTCATGTGCCAGTCAAGTCAAATTCTGTAGACTTTTTTTTCCCTGTGATGTTCTAGGAACTGTCTCCCGTCGTAGCGCCAATTTTATATATTACTGACAATTATTTTCTTTGTGATTGTCTTTTTATTGCTTGCCCTCTGGGGACTACTCTGCAGGAGGTCCCTGACGACATGGGATCAAAAGGCCTGAGTAAGTGATCAAAATACTCCCAAGTTATTTTAACCTCCATCTGAAAAATTACTATTTTTTTTTTGACAGATCTCTTTGAGATTGGTGCTCTACTGGTATAAGGAGGTTGACTAAAACTGGTTCATAAGTTTTTCCTAGTTTGCAATCTTTTGGGGTTTTTGCTTTCAGGAACATGTAAAGTTTATGTGACTGTCACGTTAGATTTTTTTGTTTTGTTTTGTTTTCAGAAGCTTACCAGTGCTTTCTTGTTTGTCCTTAACAGTACTGTGTTTTTAATTTGGTGATTATTGTTTAATGTTACTTATATCTTGTCCTCATATTTTTATTTATTTAAAAATAACCTTATGGCTTTTTACAGTAATAGTACAACCATTGCTGTGCTACTTTAACTAGTAAGTTTTCATTCCTCTTTCTAGGCGACTGATGTTTACAGCTACTTAAAGCAAACAAAACTTTTCCTTAACATATGCCATGGGAGTTTTTCTGTCTGACTTGAACTTATGATGCTTTTAGACCAGGTAGAGGGCTGATTTGAAGCATTTTTTGTATTTCTTTTTGAATCCAGTAAGATTCAAAAGTTGCTGCGTACTCTTAGAAGATTTGTGTGTACACACCCCACCACTGAATGTATTAAAATGACAAGTAAAAAAAGCCAAGACCTTGCTTTCATCACAAATATTAAATACATACACTCTTAGGCACTTATGCAATAGAAAAAAGAGTCTCTGAAAGGATGTGGCTAAGGGTCCTTAAGGATAGCATTTCTTCCCAAGGTGTAACTGTAAGGCACAGTGTTTGTGAAATTACTTTTAAGGACCAGTGTACTTCTGTATCTGTCCTCAATCGTGAAGCAGAAATTCTAGTAGCTGTAACATTCATTTTTCAGTTCTGAAATGACTAGTTTCAAAGGAATTCTTGGTCTAGACCAGAAGACTTCAGCAACCATTACAGCCTTATGGTTTAGAATATAAGATCATAAACGGCTTTTGTGGCTTTATGATCATACCTAGTTAGAACTATGCAATATGGTCCACAAGTATCTAGATGATTCTGTTCTATAAGCAATTGGTTTCTTGTCTGTTTTTCAGAACAGACTTTTAAAAACTGCCTTACCACACCTAATACAAGTTGTGTTACGTGGTACAGTGTATTTCCTCTAATATAGTCCAGTATTTTCTCTACAAGAGATTAAATGTAATCAATAAATTGCCTGCATAGAAGTTGAAATGCATAATCCTAAGATTTTTACACAACAGAATTAATCCTGAAGTGAAAATTTAAAAATTGCAGGGTTACATGTGAATTATGAGTGTACTTTTTGTAATCTTATTTTACGTGCTATTTAATGTTTTTCTTTTTATTAACATCAATTCCCTTCATATGAAATTAAGCTTGATCCTGAGAGCTATGAGAAGTACGTTAAAACTTTTATATGCAGTATGTATTGATTTCAGCACATTGATATGAGTATTGTCTTTCATCTGGATTATTTTCTGTTGATTTTCTTTCTGTTTGACTCATGCCATTGGTGTATGTTCCTTATTTTTTTCCCATTGTGTTGCAATTTCAGAGCATGTAACCTCTAATGCCAGCGATAGTGAAAGTAGTTACCGTAAGTGTTTTTAAGTTCTTTGTTTATTCAGAACCTTTGTTTTGTAGCTCTTTCTTTGGTTTTGTTTGTCTGTCTTTTCTGGGTATTTACATGTTAAATAAAACTTCCCAGACAGCTTCAGATGAAATCTGTGTTTGTTTATTTGATGGAGTACTGCAAATTGTTCCATGTCTTTGTTTTTAAAAAACTCCCTAGAATCACTGCAAACCTCCTTTATGGATATTTTTATTGTCTGTGATTTTTCTTCAGTTCAGCCTAATTTGAAACTACTCCTATTTTTTTTTTTTTAATTACACAAGCTAGCTAGACTTGTTAAATTTAAATGTAAATTTAATGCTGACAAATATAATTATATGTAGCTGAGCCTTAATACTGGAAGTGTAACCAAACTGTGTAATCTGTTAAATAATGCCATAACTATCTAAAGTTTTTCACAACTGATACTCAGATTTAATATGTATATACTTAAGTGAAAGTACAGATAAGCAAACATGTATTTACCCTTGCTTTCAGCTCATTTATTTTGTCAAGTGTGGATGCTTAGTATGAACTGTCTTCAAAGCATACGACACACATTCAGTGCTGGAGTCAGTTTGATAAATCAGCATGCTAGTTCTCTCTCTCTCTCTCTGAAGACATAATGTCTTCTCAATACCACACTCAGTTTGCTTTTACTACTAGGAAAAGCTCCAGTAGTGTTTCCTATTACCTGAGCTGCAGCAGCACTCCATGCTAATGGTGGGTAATAGGCTGCATGGTGCTGCTCTACTGTGCTTTGACATGCCTTAAACCAGAGCCAGAACTTGAATCCCCCTATTCAGTTCCAGTGAACAGCTTCCCAGTAAGTTTCCAGTCTAGACCTGGAAGCCACGATAGACCAGAGCAGGACCACAGGAAAGTGGAGGATTTGAAGAGAAATATGAAAAGAAGGAACAGTGAAAGTCATACAGTGGTTTGCTGCTCAGCTCCTGGCTGCCTGCTGTGTGATGAGCACTGCAGAAATGAGTAATTTATGTCAGGATAATAAGGAAGGTGGTTCATTAACAGATATATTTGTTTGGCTGTAGATCTTTACAGAGGTGATGAGCCACATATTTTCTTCCAGATGATGGCACTGAAGGAGAGAATGTATATACATGTATGAAAAAGGCTGGTGGTGTTGCAGACTGCAATTGAAAAGAAACCAATTGAGGGAGGCATCTGTGTTCCATGAGAATAACACAGAATTGAGAACATATGGAAATTGCCTTTGACAAACAGAAATTTTAATAATTTTTAATGATACACCATGAAAACTCTCTGACTATGTCTGTTTCTTCATAAATTTGCTGCTTCCCTCTCTTCGCTCACTTCCAAGGTTTTACTGAGAGCTTACTTTGTTTACATTTAAAGCTCATTATTGGTACTACCAGTTAGTTTTTTACTTTATTGTTACTTGAGAAGTCATGATTTTTTTAATGAATGTCATGGATTTGTTTATCTTAATGTGTAATTCCGAGCACTTTTTATTAAAATATTATTTTAATTTCTTCTTACTGCTGTCTAATATGAAAGTTATCTTGATTACAGATGAGTACGGTTGTTCAAAAGGTTCATTCTGTTAATACTAAATTTTCCAAAGTATTGAAAAACAGTGACAATATATACTTTTGCCCTCAATCAGGGGATTCTTTTTACATATTCTTATCTCTTTAGTAGTTTGAATAACTAAATAACTAGTTCATAGTCTTTGGCCTTATAGCAATATGACTTCTCCAAAGAAGTATCTAATTCTATGTGAGCTGGATCTTTCATAGATGAGTTGGTAGTTGGTGATTCCCTATTCCTCTCCCTAGTCTAAAAAGGGTTCTGAAAGTATATACTGTCCTTCTAAAATCCATTTGCATGAGTAACTTTGAGATATTAAAATGTACAGGTTGCATGGTTTTGTGTCTGTCTTAAGGTATTCCTCACTTGCAACAATTTAGGAAATTAAAGTCTTCCTTCATATATTGTTTCAGGACAGTTTGAATGCAAATTTACTGCAAAATAAGAGAAATATTTCTGTTAATGAAATGGTAACATTTAGATTTAAAATATCAGTGGCATTTGCCTTGAAATAGTGAATAGATAGAAGCACTATATGCATTTATTAAAGCCTTCATTTGCCTTCTGTTTCTACATAAACTGTGGTATAGCCTCGGTATGTTACTTTGCCTGTTTTAAGTATGGCTTATGAACATCAGTATTCCAAAATTAGACAAGTGAAATATTGGAGGACTGTATTTTCTTCAGTTCAAAGCAATGTCATTTTTAATTTGAGCTTGTGTCTTCAGAATTATAAATTCTCTGAGAATTATAAATTCTCTGCTGTCACAGTTAATTTTTAGTTATTTCATTGAAAGAAATTTTACTCAGAGTTATCATGTTAGACTAGAAGTAATCTTTTAGAGAGACAGCAACTGAGGTATATTTCAAATGCTTTCACTAACATTTAAAAAGCCTACAGCTGTCAAAATTTAAGATTCAGTTATTTTAGTTTCATTCACTGCTAATGTGCTTCCTGGAGCTGAGAACAATCCAAAGCATTCTTTGCTTTCAATTTTGTCTTTAAAAATTAATTGATAAAATAGTAGTTGTTTAGTATATACAATCATAGCTTTTTTGGTAGAATTAGAGTGGCTGAAGATGTTTAAATGCCAATTCACAATAAAGTTAATGGAATTTCTATACACCTTGACATAAATGGTTGCCAGCCATGTATAAATATAGAAAATGTTATTGTAAGTGCTGGCTTTAGAGAATGGAGAGCATTCCTGATGCAGGTGGCATTGCTCTAGCAGTGAATGACAGCATGCATGCATTGCATCCAGGATACGTGGGGAACAGCACCTCAGCAATGCCTGAAAATTCTTCTTGTGCTTGATGTCAGCTTGACATGCCAGCCTACACCAGGAACTTATTTCTATTGTATGTGTCTTATGCTTTAAAGCTCGGTGTTTGGCTTAGCTTTGTGAGTTTTATAATTCATTGCTCTTGAAAGATGTCCCTCATCAGTATCATTGTAATGCATATTGCTGAGCAGTGTCTGTATCATCATAGTCCATGGAATGACTCAGTTGAAATATGTTGCTGTAGGAAAAAAATACATTGATATGTCTTTGCATTTGCATTTTAGGTGGCCAGGAGGAATATGTGTTGTCATATGAACCAGTCAATCAACAGGAAGGTTTGTAGATCTCACTCAGTATAAAATAATCTGAATTGTTAGATTGCTTCGCATGCCCTTGTGTACTAAGCATCAGGATAAACTTCTTCACCCTTTTTCACTTCTAACTAACTGTTATTCAAATGAATAAATCATAAAGGCTTAAATTATTAAATAAAATATCTAAATTATTTAGTGCAGAATCCAATGTGCTACTTCAATAATTTCTTGTGTGGTTTATATTGTGGAAAGAAAATACAGTATGCTTAACAGTTTTGTCAGTGAGAACCCCATAAATTATTGTTTTCTTCTGTTTCATATTGCTTTAGCATTCTCACTGCTTCTGTCATAGCAGAAAGTATATGAATAGATAATTTGTCTATTTACCAACTTCAATTGAAATGTTTCTAAACAGTCTCCCATTTCTGTACGGTTTTCTTTTATGGCTAATTTGGTTAGTAATTGCCAAGGGATTTTTTTCCGGAAAAAAAGTAAAATTAAATGAAAATTAAAATCAATAGGAGAAAATATTTTCTCACACTTGTATTTAAAGAATTGATTTTTTACTGATTTTCAGTGGAATGGTTTTGTGTCTTTTCACCTTGGTCTTGATTGTAATTCACTGTGTAAATATAGACACAGAATTTTCAGTGTTCCAAATCACTAGCACAGGTGCTACCAGTTGATTTACATTATTTGATACATAGTTCATATACTCGTAAATTATTCTGATGAAGGAATGTCCTTTCTTAGAATAAGAATACTTTGTCTCTTACCTATCAAATAATGTGGCAGTCAAAGTAAACATACATCACATACTAACAGGAATTTTGGGTACCAAGATTTCATGTCTGGCTTCTTTGCAGTGAGTGGTGTGGCCAAGTTGTTTTTAATAGCACTGTGGCACATTCACCTGTATAGACTTTCCACTCTGACTTGATAATCATGGCACAAAGGCCCCAGTTTATCTTCCAGAAGCAGTAAAAATTGTTATATGATGCTAATAGAGACTGTATTATTTATATCATATAATTTGAAATACTGTAAGATGCCAAATAAAATTATGGATGAGAAATGCTTAAGACCCTACTAGAAACTGGGAATTAGTAGCCAGCTTTGATGTAAAGTAAGTTATGCCTAAAGTAGGGAACTGGAGTTTTGTCACCCTCACAGGAGCAGCTGCTGGTCTGTGCTGTGCCCCCTCACCAGAGGAGCTCACAAAGGGAGAAACAGCAAAGATATTTGTTATTTAATTAATGAGTTAATAGATACTGAATTCTAGACATTTCTCTTACGAATATAGTAATACAGTAGAAAGGAAACAGCTCTGAGTCAAATTCAAATATATTTAATAGGCCAGACTTTTAATTAATTGTTACTTATTTGTGCAGACAGATTGAACCTAAAATTAAAATTTGTACTGCTGAAATTGCATGATCATGGCAGGATACTTAGGCATTATTGTCTTAATGGTTCTTACAGTGTGATTAGACACAATCTGCTTAAACTTAATTTTCAACCAAAATTCCTCTATTATAAATAATTAAACTGCTTTTAAAAGGTACTACACTGAATTTTGTAAGGGTGTTAATAGTTAGAGAAACTATTTCTGTTTGAGTTGTTTTGTATGTGAGTGCTTAATTGTGGTCTTAGAGGAAAAGGAGCTTCTCCCAACACAGACATAGAATTTTATGAACTGTGCTGCTGCTTAGGTGCCCCTTTGAACTGGAAAAATTTTCAAACCACCCCTCTTTTTCCCTTAGAATTTAGGATGTTTGTGAAAAGGTTTTTTTTCCCCAAAGGCTTCATAATTTAAGACTCATTTTCAATCACTGAGAATGGTGATTTGAGAGTGAAGGTCTGTCATCTTACTGTGACTGTGGTATTTACTGATTGATGTTCTTCAACATGTTTTTATTCTCTTTAGAAGTACATATTCTTTTAAGTATTAAAATCATTGCTATGTGAGAAAGCTCATTTGATGAATTCTTAAAAGTTAGCAGTCATATGAAATACAACTGACATTATTCCTTTTGTTTATTAGTCAGTTACACTCGACCTGTGATTGTTTTGGGACCCATGAAAGACAGAATAAATGATGACCTGATCTCAGAATTTCCAGACAAATTTGGTTCATGTGTTCCACGTAAGTCTCAGCAAATACTGAAGCAATTTTAGATTATATTTCTCTTAATTTTTTTATAGACATCCTCTGCATGTTGGGTTAAAAAAAAAGATAATATATTGTTTAAACTTCATAGACTTATCTTAATATTGTCAATCTCTTTGTGACAATATTGCAGTATAAATGGAAGACTTTTTGGATATTGTAGAGAAAAAAGTCACTGTTTTTTGTTTTACTTTAAAAACTACTGGTTTATATTTCAAGATACTACTAGACCAAAACGCGATTATGAGGTGGATGGACGTGATTACCATTTTGTCACTTCTCGAGAGCAAATGGAGAAGGATATTCAGGATCACAAATTCATTGAAGCTGGCCAGTACAATAATCATCTTTATGGAACAAGTGTCCAATCAGTGCGAGAAGTAGCAGAAAAGGTAAATCAATGCCCACTTCCTTTAATTTACTGAGGTGATTATATACCTGTGCTGACAGAGAAAAAGGGGAGAATGGCAAGAAGCCATTAGGAACATTCTGACTTTTAGAGGAATTTGTATAAAACTAGAAACAAAGCGTATTGTCACAGATGCATTTAGGGAAATAATGAAGCTTTGGAATAATGAAAGCATCATTATTAAAAGCAACCACAATGTTGCCCTCTCATTTAAAGAGAATATAGATGAAATAATTGGAATTATAGGCTAATTACCCTTGTTCACATACACAGTTCATTAACTAATTAAGAGTAGTGCTGGTGGAGTTAATTAACATGATGATCCTTTTGACATAGACCTGTGCAGAACACTTGCAAAAATGTTTTTCTTTGTGCTCCTTATGGTTTTAGCTAACAAAAGAGAGTAAATGTAAAGAATTAAACTTTAAAAGTATTTTTTCCCATAACTACCCATATATTCTGAAGATTAACCTTACTGTTTCTATCCCAAAGCAATTTCAATTAACTATTTCTTACAAACTATAATTATTTCTGAAGTCTTATTAAGTTGACTTGATCTGTCTGAAAAAAAAAAGTGGGAAAAAGAAAGTGTATTTCTGAGAGTAAGGTGCTTGTCTTAAAGAAAATCTTTTGGTGAAAATTTTTTGTAAATGTTCCGTGTTGAGTTGATGAGTGCTGTTCTGGTGCTTACAAATCCAGTGCATTTACAGCAGCCAATGTTATCTGATCTCTCTGAGAGAAAGGCCAGCTATTTTCTAGGTGGGAACTCCAAGTGAGGGCACTGTCAGTCTGGACATGAAGAGGGTAAGTGTGGGCAGTGACCCATGTGCCACAGGGCTGTAGTTTAGTCCTCTGGAGAACTCTGTGTACCATTTTGACCAAATGGGTGAGTATCACTATTTCTGGCAACTGAATTTACTAGAAGCAAAACCAGAGCAAATACAGTGAGATTCTGTGGGTCAAGTGAGGTTTTCTTCTTCTGTCTTTGTCACCATATGGAATGGAACCTGGTCTCATGGGATGTAAAGAGAAAAGGAAAGAAAAGAATATTAATTACAGAATTGTTCAAGTAAATGAACAGTACTTTGTTTGGGAGGCTGAACAAAGCTGTGAAACTATCATACGTGGTTAAATGATGAAATTATTGAACAGCTTAAACATTATAAATGTGTTGGCAGTTGCTTTACTTGGTAGCACAATACAATCCTTCAGTTCTGTCCTGGACCTGAAATTGGATCTGTTGTTTTGTTTATCTGTTGGGATTAGTAAGGTACAAAATTGCTATGAATCTTCATAAATGGATATGAAGAGCAAAGTATTACCAGATGTCTCCATGCAGTTAAATCTCTTGCACAGGCACCGTGGGACTTTGGGTAGATGCAGCAATTTCTCAGTTACAGCTTTCATTATTTTTCTGGGAAACAATGGCCTGTCTTTCAGAACTTTATTTCATGACTGCACTGACAGGGCTGCAAACTGGTTGATCTGGAATTACTCCCATCCTTGTATTCTTCTCCATCTTGCTGAAAAGATGAGTATTTTCAGTGGGTTTTATTGCTGGAATACAAAAGGTGATTTCCAAGTTTTCTACAATCAGTTTAGGAGAAGACAGAAGAGAAGTAACTGCTATTACCCCTAAAGAACCAGAAACAATATTCTTAAAATAGCCTTCAGTTGTGTTCATTTGCCCATGCTTCCAACTGATCCCTGTCTCTCTCATTTCCTTACCCACAATGGACACAGCTAAAGATGTTTTCTGATGTTGTTGTTCAGTTATAGAAGGCACTGGCTGCTGTGCTGTGCTTCTCAATCAGATGCAGTACAAGAAGGGAACTAAAATATATAAAATATTATTCTAAATGCACTGTGCAAAGTGCAAAATAGCTTCCCTGGATGAAAACATGATTGTATCATGATGTGCTTGTGTTTCTTTTCCTTGTCTTTCAAATCTTCACTTGAAAAGAATTTTCATATCCACTTTCCTTGGGAATCATCAGCAGTTTGCAAATCTCTGTGTCTCGAGGCCACAGTTAATGCACATTCATTCATTGTTGATTTGGAATAAACCGTCACAGTTATATCCCATAAGGTGCAGCACAGCTACTGTGCTGCCTCTCCAGCCTTCCACCCTTTGGCTCCTGGCATAAGCTGTTGGGCCAAACACAGCAAATAGTGTTTTATTTGAAAAATAAAAAAGGATCAAGTAATACCCTTAATTCTCAGTTCTCGGAGCATATGCCACTTTAAAGACATGGACAGATCAGTACACCTAAAATACTCTGATAGGACATACAGACACCTTTTTAAAATGTTACCAGTTGGCATCCAAACCCATGGGAAACAGCTATCATCAGCTGAAAGCAAACAGACATATATTTTTTGTGCAGGAAGAACACTTCTCTTTAAAAATTCCTGAAATAAAATTCTGCTTTTCTAGGGAAAGAGAACAAATGTAAATGATCCTAGTTATTTCTTCTGTCAGGAAGCAGAAGCATGTCAGTAATTTCAGACATTACTCCAGGAATGATCTCCCAGGAGTTCAGGAATGGTGTTGTATGTTATGAATAACCTTTGATTATATGGTACTTGTAGGTTTGTATCCTGGCTCACAGATTTCTGCTATTCACATTGGTCTCCTGCTAAAGAAAAAGCTTTTCTTAATGTAGTCACCTGAGAGTGCTTTTCTGTTCCTCTTCCCCTGTACCTTTCTAAAATGATGGTATGCAAAATTAATCCTATGCTACTCAGAAAGGAAAGAAATAAAAATGTGTGAGGTGGAAATGAGCATATCTGAGATGAAAGGAGCTGAGAACAGGAAGCTTGAGATGAAGCTGGAAAATTCTTTATAGAGGGAGAATAGAGAGGGGGTGGAAAGCAGCCTTACCTTGTCTAACTTGTCTAACTGCCCAAGGAACAGTCAAGTTATATTTGTTTCTCAAGAGATGAATGATAAATCAACCATCAGCCAGTGATAATCCACCATCTCCAATGTGTATTTCTACTGGCTGGTACCTGGAGGAGGAGAGGGCTTGTGTGCAGTTCTTGAATAGGGTGGCATGTTTCCCTGCCAGCAGGGGTGGGCACTCCCTCAGGTATGCCAGTTAAGCCATCTGGCTCCTCTCTGAACTGTCTGTGACATGGCCACCTCCCTACAGCACCCTCAGATTAGTACTGAAATAAAATACTTTGGTGGTGTGGCTGAAGTCCAGCCGTTCCACCATAGGATTCTGCATTGCTGACTGGGCTGTGACCTGTGCTGAAGGAAGGAAGGAAGGAAGAAGGGTCGGGAACATCTCAAATGATGTGTGATCCAGTAGAGGAGATTGGGGGTCCTTGTGCCAAAGTGGTGAAATCGAAGTATCGTTGATGCAATACTCTAATTTTCTTTGTTTCAGTGGAGATGTGTTTTCTCTTCTAAATTATTATGCTATGCTACTTGTGACTTAAACTTTGCTTAGTGCCATTTTCCCTTCTCTCTCACTCTTTAGGGTAAACATTGCATTCTTGATGTTTCTGGTAATGCCATCAAAAGGTTGCAGATTGCCCAGCTGTACCCAATCTCCATTTTTATTAAACCCAAAACAGTGGAAAATATCATGTGAGTAAAAGTAAAGTACCTCATGCTAAATTGTTTGAGACTGTTGTATTTGAAAAGCCAGCCACAAATTATATGCAGACAATTGTAATGTTTGCATTTTAAATAATATTTAATTCCCTGAATTTAGCTTTTAGGGACTTTAAGTCCAGGCTTCTAATCCAAATGAGAGAGCTTGCAAACAAATGTCATTGAATGAAATTCCATGCAGCATAATGCCAGGGCAGTTAATTTCCACTACAGTCCTTGCTTGGTGTCTTTAGGGTTTAATCCTTTTATTAGGATTAATACTCAAACAACAGTTTAAAACTTTAAAGACTCCAAGTATTTGAGAGTGGCTTATAAAAGGTATAATGTTTTCACTTTCAGGGAAATGAATAAACGCTTAACAGAAGAGCAAGCCAGGAAGACATTTGAGAGGGCCATGAAACTGGAGCAAGAATTCACTGAACACTTCACAGGTGTGTTTTGCTTGTGACTGCTCACTTGCAGAGTTGAAATTTTATGCTTGCTGTAAAAATAGTGCTTGCCTAACCACTGAGATAGTGAGCTTTGTTTTTCAGGTGATCTGTGATTACTTTGAGATATAGAACCAACTTAGTATCTCTACACCAATTTTACTTTGATCAATTGATTTAATATTAAAAAATATACAAAAATTTACTGGGAGCTATATATTATATATAGGGCATTATATAGGACACTTCTCCAAGAAATTTCCACTTTCTCCAAGAAATTAAGGGACTTAAATTATGATGTTTCAAAAACCTAAAAGACTTTTTGAGTGCTCAAGTGTTTAGAGCCATGATTTTTCTCTGGAGACTTGTTGACAAACGAAGATGGTCAGACTTGTCTCCTTGATAATCCCATTCAAGCCAGAAATAATTTTCTGAATCTGTTTGAGATACTTGAAGCCATTACAGATTTTAATTACAATTTGGAGGCTGCCACCCTCCTGAGTTTACCACCCCTGAGTTGGGTGGGAAAACAAAATACGAGTGTTCCCTTATCTGTTGGAAAATATCACATCATGTGTGTGAAGTGAAACCAACTTCATCAGCAGGTTCTGTTTCCACAGACTTAAACTTTACACTGAAGCACATGAAAAGCACATCCTTTTTCAGCTTTGAGGTTACTGACATTTGGAAGAGGTGTGCTTGAACTTAGCTGGAGAGAAGATGCTGAACATTATACTTGGCCTATAACAATGGAGCAGCCTCCTCCCACAGGCAGTACAGCAGCGCCAGGAGAGAAGGTTTTTAAGAGATAAGAATGGAATGGTAGGAATAAAAGGGAACTAATTTGCATGAAAGCAAAGCTCAGAAGCAGCAGTACTCTATTCATGCACAGAAGAGTGAGTCTGACCTGCCTCCAAAACTGTCTTTCATGTTAAACTTTACTTCTTGGATTATTGACACTGAGATTGTGACACTAATTAAAAAGAAGTTGCTGTCTCACAGCGATTGTTCTTCCAGTGTTGAAGTGGAAGAAGTGTTGGTAAGAACAGCTCAAGCTTCATTTTCACCAGACTATATTTTATTCTGATATGTCAAACACATCCATATTGGCTCATTTCTAATTAATTTCTAGCCTTGGCAAAAATACATCAACTAACACGATAGGAATGATAATAGATTGGACTTTTAACTGTATAAGGAAGCCTCTTGTCTATAAAACTTGAATCTGTTGTCTGGACAACAAACTCCACGAGTTCCTCCTTTTTTCAAAGGCAAAGGTAGAGCTAGGTAGACATCTCAAGATCAGCCAGCCTTGCTGTGCAGCTTCAGGGTTGAGCTGAGTTCACGAGCCTGTGAGGACACAGCCCTGCACTGTCTTGCTTTGTGCTGGAAACACAAATGAAAGCTGAGCCAGAAAGAATACTGGAGGATGTAAATTGACTCAGGCAAATTGGAACATGTGGCTAGGAAAAGGTTAAAAAAACTCATCAATTGTACGTATATACTTGGTAGGACAATGGAAGCCACTCCCTGTCCCCAAGGAAGTGCTTTGTGTGTCCTGCAGTACCACTCTATGCTTCACTCCAGCACAGAAACCAGGAATGTCCACGGGTGTCTGTTCCTTCATCAACCAGAAATCCTCCTGCCACTTTGAGGGGAAGGAGCAGCTTGGTGTGGAGCAGCCTGGCTTCTGCACCAACCAGAGGGATGATTGCTGATTGCCACATTATGTTTTGCAGCTATTGTCCAGGGAGACACTCTGGAAGAAATCTACAACCAAGTGAAACAGATCATAGAGGAACAGTCTGGTCCTTACATCTGGGTTCCAGCAAAGGAAAAATTATGAAAACAGATTTTTATTTTTCATTTTCTAACTGACATCACCTACTACATCTGACGACTCTTAAGCCCTTCCAGTGGAGCCTGCTCTAGTTCTTTCCAGCGTGGTTCATACCCTAACCATCACATTCTGCAGTTCCCATAATGCTTTACATTTGGTGTCTCTCTTAGTTTAAATAATTTGTATTATTGTGTGTTGTTGGTTTGCCATTTTTCAAACATGATAGTGGAATGGCCTGACCAGCTATTAGTTTAGGGTGGGGGTGGGAGGGAATTGCTTGGTAAAATTCCTTAATGTTTAAGGGAAAGTAACTTTCAAAGATTTTTCACAAAAGCTTTATAGACATTCTTTTAAAATTTCATAACAATTGAAAGAAAAGTTGTATTCAAGGAAGTTGTAAATTATGAGTAACTTTGCACGCTTAACTTTAATAGCATGGTTTGGTCAGGGCAATCAATTTCAGGTTTTATTTTCTGAGTTCAAGCCTATTGTCACGGTATCTTTTTTTCTTTCCAGGCAGTTAGAAAGAAACTTTCAAATTTTGAGTTAGCATTTTCATTAAGTCCCATTACTACTCCTAAAGGGATATTCATTTTCATAATTTCATATGGATATTCTTATAATCTATTTTTTCATTTTTTGCCAATAAAATTGCTAGGGAAAAGATGTGTAATGTTTTTAATCTTCCTCATGAAACACTATTTATAGTGTGTTACAGAAATTCTTTATAGATAATGGTCATCACAGTTTTTGAGCCTAAAAATATGTTTAGGTGCTAGGAAACCTGTATTTTTCAGAGGAATGCCAAATTTCCATTGGCAGTAATTCAGAAAACAGCTGCAGAGATGGTCATTAGGGCAATGAGAGAATGATTCATAGCCTAAAAATGTGTGTGTTCTTAGGGGTCAGATTTTAATGAATATTTTACCCACAATAACTGCCTATTTTGTTATAATAAATATATATATATTAAACTTTCTTTAACTAAACTCTGTAACTATGGGAATTATTTTCTTTACATAGTTGCGCACACGTATAAATATATATATATAAAATATATATTTTTCTTTTACCACCTACTCCTAGCTTTTTGTTTTGAATAAAAATAAAAAAAACAAATTAGAATTTACCTTCCTTAATCATGGAAAAATCAAATGGTCTGTGATGGCTGGGCATGAAGTCCAGGGAATATTAGTACAAGAAAAAAAAATACATGCAAGTTCTCCTCTTTTCTACGCAATTCCGGGTGTTTGTCTTCCCGTGTCCCCTTTGTAATATGCATGTCTTAACCAAAGGGAGAATTCAGAGTCAACAATATATTTTTTTTTTCTGTACATGTTCGTCTCGGATTGCACTGGCATAAGATCTTCCATTTACAATGCACAAATTTCTGTGCTGAATGTTATGAATACGTTGTACCAAAACCTTCAATAATGAAATTCTCTAATTCGTATTATTTGGTACCTGCCATTGCTTGTTTGCAACTGATTGTTTTTGAGAGGGATGTACTTATGGCAGTCATGGGGCAGTCACACAACCAAATCAGCTTTGGTTTGTAAAGAATTATCAACACTATCCATTCCATTTGTTAGAAAGAGGAGAACAGCTAATAAACTTTATTGTACAATATATTTGTCAAGTGTGTTTTTAATTATGATAAATGTGGTGTAGCACTGCAGAATAATTGAACAAGACTGTAAACAAAAATCCAGGTGTTAGACAAACACTTGTGGCCACACTGGGGCTACTGAAGTTACTGCATTAAAAGCAGGTTTAAACTTGTGACACAATTATTGCTGATGTTGGGATGCTAATGAGGCTTGCAGGAGTTTAAAACTGCTGGTGCATACCCCAGAAGAGTTTCTGGTTTTCAGATCTGGGAAATCAGGTGTGCAGCCTTTCTGAGAATTCCTGCCCATGAAAGTGCATGGTGTACTGGATTGATGCAGCTTCTCATAAATAATGTCAAAAATTTTTAAGGTAGCTAGAAGTGTACTGTTGTCTCCCTCTTTGAAAATGACTGTTTGAGGTATCTTGTGTGACATCTTAAAAGAACAACTGTAAAAAAAAAAAAAAAGAGATGGATATGAATAGCTATCAAATCTGCAAACACATCTGAGATCACTGTACTGTATACATTTCTTTTTATATCTTTCTTTAACCCATCAGAAAGAGCCCTATTCAGCTGAGTAGCTCTGTGAGGAATTGCTCTTTCATATATTGGAGTGTCTGAGTAGCTGTCACCAAACTTTGCCCCCAGGCACTTGTTGTATAGTTGCCAGGTATCACCAAACACTCCACTCTGACTGAAGTCCACAGCAGTTACCTTGCACCATTGTCATGGGGGAGTGAAAACAAGTCTTCAAGAAAACCCAAAGGACTCTGGAGTGTTTGCTTTGGTTTTTTAGTTTTCTTTGTTTGTTTGATGTTACCTTTGAACACTGGCAGCAAAGTTGATTCTGAGACCCCTGATGCTCCTTCTTGTCCTATCTTGTGTAATTGTTAGGGTTTTGCATTACTTAGTGTTTCTCTGGGTCTCATTTTTCCAGCATTGGGTGCTGATATATCTTTGATTCTTGAGTACACTTTTCTCTATTTTAGTGCTATATTTTACAATACATGTACTTTGCTAAAGGCTTCTAATTTAACAACTAGAGTAATTAGGAAATCCAAATGGCATCATACTGATGCATTACCACTCTTTTGCTAGCCCAGTGAAGGCATCGTGGATTTTCTTCTTGCCTGATAACCCAACTATTTGCAATTGCTATACAGACACATGCTTGTTAAAGTATTTATTACTTTCTATTATTATTGTAAATTATATTATTTCCTTGTTGGCATTTTTGCTAAATTAAACTGAAAACTAGGTTCAGAAATTTAATATCTCCTTAAAGCACAGATACTTATAGAGTTAAGAATGAAATAAGAAAATTATCTAAATTCTGATAAACTGTCCTTGTGTGCTTGATTAGAGGGGGTTGTGTTTGGAATAGACTTCTTGTACAAAAAAAGCTGCTCCTTTGCCTTCCAAACCATTTCCATAAAGAATTAGAAGAACCACAGGAGAGCCCTGGTACCAGATTCGTATCTTAATAATCCTACCTTTCAGTCTGAAGCAACTGGTGCTAGGACTGTCAGTCTTGTCATTTGTATTTGAATGTAAGCCCTTCTGCAAACATCAGGGAGAGGAGGGCTTCAGATGTTATCTGGCCAGTAGGAAGGGTACAGGAAGGATCTGAGCAATCCTTGGGTCCTTGAAAACACTTGGAAATACTCCAGTGGCACCAGGTTATTCTTTAATACTTAAGACAACAAAAGGGCAATTCATTCCAGATGGTCTAGGGAGCCAAGATCAGAGTTCAGCCATAAGGTTTTGTCTGGAGGGATCATTCTCTTTTTTAAAATTTTTTTTTGAAAATTGAAACAGCAATTAATTGACTCAGCTGTTGTCTTACAGGTGCTAGTCAGGGCTAGAGCCAGCATCCTGCCAAACTGCAGTCAGGCAGCTGATGAGTGCTGGAGGCCTCCTGCCACACTCCCCTACGGGCTGCTGGGGGATGTTCTCCCTGGGTGTGAGGACTCAAGAGACACAGCCCTTCTGTTTCTGTGCAGCTTTTATCTAATCTTTTATCTTTTGTCTAATGACTCAATGGCTTTTATCTAAACAAAGTGTTACAGCCACCTGCAGTTCATTGACTAATAAGAAATGAATAAAAGGGCAGCACAAACCAGGGTTGCTCTGTGAAATTTACACTAAAATTCACAGTAAATTTTAACAGAGCTACTGGCGCCAGTTTTGATTCTTTTTGGGAGAGAGTTCATCCTGGGCCTTCTCTTAGACCTTAAAATAAGTAAGAATGATTCAGTTATTTTATAGCAATTGCTATTAAGTTTCAGGAAGTGTGCACCTAGCATGTGCTGTACCACGTGTAGAGTGCACAGGTTTTGCTGTTGTAAGAGCCTGGGCTTCTGATGATGGCTTTATGCAATTTGTGACAATGATGAGAATGTAGCATCAAGTGACTGTACTCTGCCAGATAAACTGCTTATCTTGAATCTCCTTCTGCTTCCTGAGCCCCAGGTATAGGGAATACACAGAGCTCCGAGTGAGGATGTGCTTCCACAGCCCTGCCCCACCCCTGTGTGCCCGTGTGCAGCAGTTCATTGAATAAAGTCTGTGGGTGGTGCCAAGGCAGTAGCAACCTCATTGGTGCCTCAGATATTTTGCAATTTCCAGGTCTGATGTTTTTTTTCCAAGTGTAGAGGCAGTGTGAAGAGAGGCATGCTTTCTTTTCCAGTAGTCATTGCGAGGTGACGTGTGCCGAGGTAAGCAGGGTATATTTATGTTGTTGGACAAAGTGCATTGGCAATAGAATGCAACTGATTTTCACCTAAGACCAGGCTGGAGAGAGCACTCTTGCAGGAGCCTTGATCTCTGGGAGTTCTGAAGACTGGAAAAAAAAAAATCACAGATCCCAACATTTTCATGATGAAGAGCTCCAGAAATGTTTTCTGTCTTCTCTTCTTTCATGCTGGTAAGTGTCCTCCAAATGCTTTTGCTGTGGCATGGGATCTCTGTGGGATGTGACAGAGCAGAAAGAAACTTGAACCACTTCAGAGCCAATCTCATATCGCCAGGAAAATAAACAGAAGGAAGTAATGGAAAAGCAGTAGGAAAGACTGTATTGAACACCATGTATATATTTTGACTCATTGGTGCCAAATGTATTTCCTCAGCAAAGGAGCAGTTAAAGGATAACTGGAAAAATAGAAATAATTGCTTTATTTCACTTCTCTCATGTGCTCTATGCAACACATTGGCTTTCTCCTGTCACTCCCAAATTGTATTCGTGAGTGCTTTTAATTTCATCAGGTGTAAGGTGCTGTTTCAGAAGCACTCTTCAGTTCTTCAGAAAAGAAGTGATCCTAGTTAATGATTTTCGTCTTTTTTTCCCCCATTTTTTTCTGTTGAAAGCCTTTGATACTGCAGTAGTAGCAGCTGTATACATAGGCATTTGATAAAATGTTACACAATGTAGTTCCATTACTTGGAGGAATTACTGGGAGTTTGTCAGTGATAGCTATGGGTGTGTTAGGACTCTGAGCATAATTTCAAATGGAAGTTGCTAGCTTCTGCCATTTCAAGCTTTAAATATATATATCTGCTGATATACAGATGGGCCAAAATTGAGAATAAACTTGGGTTCAGACCCTGACCTGATATTTTAAGCTGATTTGCCTTGACAATAGGAAGAGAGGCTAACTGCAGGCCTTGTCTGATCAAGCCCATTTCAGAGGCTAACTTGTAAGGAAGGAACCAGGATATTGCCCAGATCTGACTTTCATCTAACAACAAAATTCAGCAATTTGGAAAGAGACCAATAAAGACTTAGTTTTGATGAGTGAGGTAAAAACCAACAGATTCATGCTGTTTTGCTATTTTTGCTGAAATATAGAGCTAAATGAACTTTATGTTTCAGATGTATGGTTAATGATTTTTTCATACAGTTCATGCTTTACCCCCTATGTGTCTATGTGTAAAATCAGAATGCTGAGGCTGAAAAATGGCACTTAGCATACATGCACACTGAGATGCTGACTCCCCAGTTTAATTTCTGTTTGCTTATATTTATAAAAAGAAAATGCCAAAATGAAAAACAGGTTTTTTCTTCCAGTCCCAAGGAATTAATGGTGAAAATTTCACCCCGACAGATGAGGTAGTGCAAACATTAAGTTTCTGTGAGATATATTGTTACCATGACCTCTTGTGCCTTTCTCCCAGCCCTCTTGGTTCTAGAATTCCTGCAGCTTAGAGGTGGGCAGTTGTTTCTCCCTCTACTGGCATATGCTGCTGGGAAAGCTCCCTGTAAACTTTCCAAGTCTGACTTAGTATTTGTTGACAGCAGTAGAGTTGGCTCTGTGTCGCAGAGGAGCAGCAAGCCAAACCCACTGTTTCAGTATTGGATCTTTTGGCATCAACAACCTTGTTTAGTCTGCACCACTAAGTCAGGAGGTGTGCACGGAGCACTATCGGGCACCAGTGGAGTCATTTTTAACTTGCACAGTCAGATGTGGCATCTCAGCTGCATGGCACTGGGGGGGAAGCAGGGGACCAGTTAGAGGTATTAGAAAACCACATGATAAATGGTTTACAACAGACTCCAGCTTAAAAATGGAAATTGTAGACAAGCAGTGGAATATTGTGTCCCTGCTTACGAAAATGACCGTGCCTGTTTGTCAGTGTAACCCACGCTTGCGTTTCCATTTCACCGCACTGTCTGTGCACGATGACATCTCCCTGCAAAAGCAACCAAGTGTTTGTAGCTTTGGCACTTAGCAGAGTGACGTTTGGGGCCACTGAAAGGCACTTTTCTTTGCTAATTAATGGAAATCTCCACTACTCAACTTGAGTCTTTTCATTCATGGCTCTGCCTTCCCCTTTTCCTGACTGTGGTTATGATCTCTTATGAAAGACTGTTTTGAAGGGCCAAGTTTACTTTTTAAGTTTTCATAATAAGCCTAGTGGCAAGGCTTTTGAGCACCTAAGGTTGCTTTTTAAATTCAGACCAATAAGGGCTTGTGCAGGACTCCAGATACTAACAAGTAATACTTGAGACAAGAGTTGTCTTTGGACAGACTCTTTGGTCTTGTAGCATATAATTTTAAATAATAATTTCACGTGCTTTTAACTTAAGATGGTGTATTCTGCAAGGTGTTTAAAACAGTCTGGATGCCCTGATCTATTCCATAGTACGATATTTCTTATGTGAGAAATAATCAGTATCTGAGTCTGATCTTGTGGTCAGTCCAAAAAAACTTCAGTATTCATGTTAATTGAAATGAAAGTGGGAGTCATCACTAAAGATTCACAGTAAAGTGAGCCCTGATTTTTTTTCTGTTTGGGGGGAGAAGTGGAATGAAAGTTTGTCTCTAAATGGTAAGCTCTGTTACAAAAGCTCTGATGTGTTTTGTAATATTTTCCCTTGGTGTTGTGTTTGCAGCTCTCGGCCTGGAGCGTGTCCGGTGGTGCACGGTGTCTGAGCAAGAACTTGCCAAG